GATTTCCCGTAATCATGTCATGCTTTAAAAGATAATGATACATATAGTTAAGGATAAAATTGACATGACCAAGGCCAGCTTCTAATTCACAACCCATTATATCACTTGCAGAAGTTACTATAGGTGCACCTTCCGCAACACACAGGGCTGTTGGGCAACGAAGCAAGTGCAGAGATCAGATGAAGATCCCACAATATTTGACATAACCTACAGAGGAAAGCATACCTGTTCTCAAGGAAACAACGCCGTTTTGCCACCTAAGTCACCAGACAAACAAGAGAAGACACACAGACATAACATTGACATGCACCATGCACAGGCATCACAAGAAAGCCTTACAAAGTTCAGAAACATCTTGTCTGTCAACACAGATAAACTAGACAATGGAGATATGGCATATCCTTTCACTTTCCCTTCGACTTCATCTGGATGCATGAAACCATACAGCCACAGCTTGATTCCTGGGACCCTAGAGAATGAGTACTTCTTGAGCGATCAATACCAAACGAACCTGTTATCTCCAACAACACCGGAATCAAACTATCTCCCATCCCCAACTTTCCAGATGAATGAGTTTGACGGAATCTACAACAAGCCTTATTCAGACTCAGATATTAATGAGATCATTTCCACCAACACATCAGCAACCAATTCTCCAATTCCCGATTTCAATTTCTCACTTGATCCAGTGGAAATTGACCCGAATTTCCCTTTCAACACCCCAGGATTTTTCTCCTGATTGCACTATAAATGGAACACAATGAGCAATATAGTCTTCCTAAAATAGGACAACTCCAGGCAGAAGTAGAATTTTAGAATAAAGAATCAGCAACTGCAGCACTTATAAATGTCATTCCTTTTAGTCAATATTAGAATTACAGTTTTGGCACAATTTAGCAGTTTGTAGAATGTAATTTCAAATTTATAGGTGCTCCAAATCCGTATTGCTATTTGGTAAAACCCCAATGCCCCATCTTTAGTACAAGAGCATAGTAGTCAGAAAGAACAACTAACCAACCAAATTAAGTTACAAGATTGCGTCATCTCAGAAATAAATCAATATTATAAGAGAGTTTTTAGAACACTAGTGAAGAGCATAAAAGAGAACGACAGATAAAAAATTACACATCAAAATTGGATTCGCTAGCCAAACCTTTGCAAGATTCCATTCCAATCAACAACTTAATTACACATTGATATAATAATATTAACAACAAAACGACTTCAAATATCAAACCTGCATCCTGGGTTCCTTCCTTTACTCCTCCGAGCTTGAATTAGGAGTAGATGAAGTTTCATCTTGTGAATTTTCAATTTTTCTAAGACCCTCTCTGAGGCCCAACACAATGAACAAGTTAGTGAGAGTTAGAAGTGACTCAGCCCCGCCATGTAACCAGTCGACATTGGACAAAGAAGTTCCATAATGAACCTTCGCTGTAGTAAGAAACACAAATCACACGTCCATCTTCTTTAAACTGAGCACATTTTCAGTAAATTAACTTAAAACTCACCGTAAATTCCAGCAGGTACTGTTCAATTTTGCAGAGCCATGAAAAAAGGTTGAAAACATATGAAATCAGAGAGAGTAGTAGAATTACAGTAACAAAAGGGGCACAGACAGAGAGAGAGACTGACTTGTGGCGCCGACAAAGGCGAGCAAGAAGTAGAAGCCAAAGAGGGTGAGGTTTGGAGCAGTCTTGGACTTGGTAATGAAATATAAGAATCCGATGTAAGGAAACAAAGAGAAGGCGAAAAGCTGAGAAGCGATGCTCTGGGAATCAATGGTGGGTGCCCATGGATCAACCGGTAATGGCAACCCGCACACGATCCCTCCTCTTTTTCCGTTACAAGGGTTCCATTTGGTGCTTCTTCTGAGGCTGTTTACGTTGTCCTTTTGCAGAAAGCTGGTTGGAGGGTTCAGAAAGTTGGGGGCTTTACATAGGGATGCCAGAGGCAGGGACAACGACAACTTCATGGTACCAGCCATTTCGCTGCTCTCTCTTCTATCTCATCTCTTTCATCATGCAACACCCGCCACCGTTCAATATCGTAACTTGTTCCCCAAATGGGCTGGGCCCCTTTCTCAGTACATCAAACGGGTTTAGACCCACCTTCCTCTAAAGCCTCAATCTCAGTCCAACACATTTTTTATGAAAAATAAAAAATTTAGTTCTACATCGAAATTAACACGTCATCAAACAGAAACGGAATTTTAGTTTTATTTGAGTCCTTGTATTTATATTCATTATAATAATATTTTTTGACAACATTTTAACACCGTTTATATCAGTTTTTGGTTTGTAAGAAAAATGTTTTTTTAATAATTTTTTTTACAATATTTTTACAATAGTTTATGTGATAGTTTTTGATTGATCGTTTCAAATATACTAACTAATAAAATAATGACATATAATTTATTATAAAAAAGTTGTTAATCTATTATAATTCTTTTATTAATTGATGGGGTTTTCCATCAAGTTCTTTTATTTTTTATTTTTATGTTATAATTGTTTAAATTGTGTTCAGATACGTATGTGGACTATTACTCATGCAAATTTAAAATGTATGAATGTCTTAATACATTAACACTTATATGATGTTGCGATATTTTAAAATAAAAAGAATCAAATTTAAAAAAAGAAGCTAAAACTAACTAAATATATAGATTAGATAAAAAGAAATATAGATAACAACAATTTAGTTCATGCAAATTCTTTGAATATGTAATATTCAACTCGATAAAATTCTTTCGATATATAGATTAGATAAATCGGATTGAACATAATATTTTTTATTTTAATGTTTTATGTTAATTCTTAATTTTATGTTCAGATATTAAATCAATTGATAAAACATCCATAACTAAAAAGAAAGATAAATTTGTGAGGTTCACAAATAATTTTATCTCTAACCATTATGATAACTTTCAACGAATTAATTAGTCTATTTTACAAGTCTCTGCTTTCATCTTTACTTTTCAAAAGAAATTCATTTATAACTTTATCTACCACTTGTCCGCCATTATTCCATCCAACTAACATTGTTATACTGTTCCTTGAAAAAGTTGAGAAGTGAAAAAGAAAAAGAAAATAAAAAAAATAAGATAATTATTTATTTATAATTCTTTTGTTTTATTTTTAAATTCAATATTAGTTTTTATTGATTATTACTATTAAATGAATAAAATTAAAACAATTTATTAACATTTATTAATAAAATGTTAATGACGTAAATATTATATTATTTTAAGTCATTCTTTTGCACGATTCATTTGAAACATTTAAGACTGAAGAGGTATACTTTTTAAACATTATCTTTTTACATGTTTAGTCAACTTTTATTTTAAGTAGCTTTTGAATCAATTAGCTTGATGGATTATTCATATAACAAAAATTTTCATCTTTGATATCATTTGTGTGCAAATATTATTTGAACCAAACCCACTAAAAATAATTATGTGAGTCTCATAGAGTTAAATACCTACTCTTAGTTAAATTTTGCTAAATATTAATTACATAAAAAAAAATCACTATGTAAACCGTTTTAACAATGTCAAGAACACATCAATAATTACGATTAATCTTTTAAATTAACTTCTTATAAGAGTATTTTAATAATTATGGATAGACTTTTATCACATAAAATAAATTTGTCCATAAACTTAAATTTATTAATGATTTTTATTAATGAATTTTAAAATTTAAATTATCGATAGATTTTGTTCACAATTGATTCATTACTAAAACTTGTTGATAAATTAAAAATTATATTGATGAATATTTTTTTTGTAATGTATATGTTTGTCGATTTTATTAGTGATGTATTCAATGATGAATTTTTTCAATAAATTTTGTCAGTTATTTATAATTTCTATTATCAATATTTTTTTTTCGGTAAATTTGTTGGTAGAATGAGTGAAAATTTTCATGTCAATTTTGATGAATCTCTTTTTATATTAAGGAAAGATGAGTGAAAATAATAAGAGAATAAAGAAGAGAAGACAAAGAAGGAAGAGAATGATGTGACAACGTAGATGTGTCTGTGGAGAAGATTTATTAATGAAAATAATGGAAAATTTGCTATAATTGGTAATTATTGACTAATCTCATGATCTATTAATAAAATTTTGTTAGACAAATTTTACTGATGAATTTGTGATTATCCTTAAACTCAAATTATCAAAATATTTTTGTTATTATTTTTAATTTAATTTTATACTTTTGGTATTGGGTTTTATATTTATGTATTGGACTTACCTTAGATAGTTGTGATTATGTTAGGTAAAGTTTGGTTAATGTTGTTTCAAATTTGGTGGCACTTTTATATGGTCTTGAACTGGTAACACATCAATATAGTTTTTTTTCTTCTTCTGAGATCTCATTTGCTCACATTTTTGTTGACGTTGTGAGAATATTATTTTGACCAACAGAGTTATAATATGTTATAATAGCATATAACAGTTTTGAAAACAAAAAGTAAACTAAAATAAAAGAAATGGTTGCATTTACAAGACCAAGGTTTTGCACATTTTACTGTTTTAAGTAAGGGTAACATCAATAAGACTTTAGTTTGAAATCCTGAATGCTTGAACCAAGCCATGAGAGTGAGTGTGCTAAACATTATGTGATTTGATAGTCATTCTAGTTTTATGTACATTGATTTTTATCAAAGTTCTGAATACTTTTAAAATCAAACGACTTATTTATTACACATCTACCTCTTCTCTTATTGTAGAATTTCCTTATGATGAAATTGTCGTTTTGTAGTTGAATATTTGAACGTAACTTCTTCCGTCGTGCTCGGCCTTAAAATGGGAGCCCCACCACCCATTCATCTAAAATCCCAATCAAAAACCAAACGCGTCTCTCCTAGTTGACTCCAAACCCTAATCAATCACCAACACATAGAAATCATTATCCCTTTAATTTCATGGAGGAAGAACTTTCGACAATTATTTTATTAACAATAATGGCAAGTCACTTAAACAATTGCATCGTCAATTATCAAAACTTATAACATAAGCAGAAACCCACTATACACACGTTAATTGCTACGTTATTATGATATGAAATAACAATATACAACAATAATAAATATGATAAATAACTATGATCATCTCAAGCACACGAAATACCGATAGCGGTGGTGGCCATAAACCTGTCCGACGCCGACTTTCTCACAAACGAAGCGATCTCCGGCGAAAGCACGGCCACCTCAAATTCCGGAAGCTCGGGAATCGTGGAGAGAACGGGTTCGGATTTGTCGTAAACAACGTAGAAACGATCTTTGTTGGAATATTTCTCTGCCACTTGGAAAGTAGTATTATTATTACTGGCAATAATACTGGTGGGGGTGGTAGACCTAGAACAAGAAGTAGAAGTCCTTAACTTGTTGCTGGACTTGAAGACAAATCGAAGGAATTTCTGGAAGGTTCGAGAGATCTTGAAAGGCTTGTTGTTGGACATGATGGGTGGTGGATGAGGATGAAGATGAAGAGAGAGACAACGTTCGGGTAAATGAGACATGGAAAGGGTTTTTCTGTTTTTCGGGGAATTCGATATTGCCGTGTTCAGTTGGCGTTTGAAGGAGTTGAGCTCGAAGGAATCGTATAGGCTGCTGCCACAATCCCAAACGTTTCCCTTCGAAACTTGGTTAAGCTTTTCTTCTCTTGATTTTGATTTCTTCTCCATGTGTGTTCTTAGTTTCGGTGATGTTGGAACTATGTATATAGAATAAGGGAGATATTATGTATGAGATAGGGATGAGAAAATGGAGAAGACGGTCGGAGAGAGTGACGTTTGACAACTTTTATGTGAAGTTTGGTGAAGGATGAAACGCGCTAGTTATGACTTTGTGACTTGGAAAGTGAGGATTTTTATAATAATTAGGGTTTCATCTCCCAAGGACATTGACCACCGTTGCCATTAAATCCGTGAGAACGCTTTTCTTTTTTCAATGTTTCTGTGCCAGCGTTGCATTGGGCAGATAACTAAATGAACGTACAATATATATACACATAATGATGATAAGTGGGCAAGTATGGGACACTGGGACGCGGAATAAAAGTGGCCCCTTGAAATCTTGAATCATGTGTGTAACCATTGTGTCGTGTCATATTCATACCTACATACTTGGCTGTTTGCCATTGAGTACGACCTTGGATTAATTAATTTAGTCCAAAGTTTATTAAATTAATAGGAAAATGACACTTGAACAACCATTTTTGACAACATTTAGACACGCGCACACGTGTCAAAATCTGAGTGGTCCATTTTCATTTAATTTTTCCAACTGGACCACTCAGATTTTGACACGTGTGCGCGTGTCTAAATGTTGTCAAAAATGATTGTTCAAGTGTCATTTTCCTATTAATTTAATAAACTTTGGACTAAATTAATTAATCCAAGGTCGTACTCAATGGCAAACAGCCAAGTATGTAGGTATGAATATGACACGACACAATGGTTACACACATGATTCAAGATTTCAAGGGGCCACTTTTATTCCGCGTCCCAGTGTCCCATACTTGCCCACTTATCATCATTATGTGTATATATATTGTACGTTCATTTAGTTATCTGCCCAATGCAACGCTGGCACAGAAACATTGAAAAAAGAAAAGCGTTCTCACGGATTTAATGGCAACGGTGGTCAATGTCCTTGGGAGATGAAACCCTAATTATTATAAAAATCCTCACTTTCCAAGTCACAAAGTCATAACTAGCGCGTTTCATCCTTCACCAAACTTCACATAAAAGTTGTCAAACGTCACTCTCTCCGACCGTCTTCTCCATTTTCTCATCCCTATCTCATACATAATATCTCCCTTATTCTATATACATAGTTCCAACATCACCGAAACTAAGAACACACATGGAGAAGAAATCAAAATCAAGAGAAGAAAAGCTTAACCAAGTTTCGAAGGGAAACGTTTGGGATTGTGGCAGCAGCCTATACGATTCCTTCGAGCTCAACTCCTTCAAACGCCAACTGAACACGGCAATATCGAATTCCCCGAAAAACAGAAAAACCCTTTCCATGTCTCATTTACCCGAACGTTGTCTCTCGCTTCAACTTCATCCTCAACCACCACCCATCATGTCCAACAACAAGCCTTTCAAGATCTCTCGAACCTTCCAGAAACTCCTTCGATTTGTCTTCAAGTCCAGCAACAAGTTAAGGACTTCTACTTCTTGTTCTAGGTCTACCACCCCCACCAGTATTATTGCCAGTAATAATAATACTACTTTCCAAGTGGCAGAGAAATATTCCAACAAAGATCGTTTCTACGTTGTTTACGACAAATCCGAACCCGTTCTCTCCACGATTCCCGAGCTTCCGGAATTTGAGGTGGCCGTGCTTTCGCCGGAGATCGCTTCGTTTGTGAGAAAGTCGGCGTCGGACAGGTTTATGGCCACCACCGCTATCGGTATTTCGTGTGCTTGAGATGATCATAGTTATTTATCATATTTATTATTGTTGTATATTGTTATTTCATATCATAATAACGTAGCAATTAACGTGTGTATAGTGGGTTTCTGCTTATGTTATAAGTTTTGATAATTGACGATGCAATTGTTTAAGTGACTTGCCATTATTGTTAATAAAATAATTGTCGAAAGTTCTTCCTCCATGAAATTAAAGGGATAATGATTTCTATGTGTTGGTGATTGATTAGGGTTTGGAGTCAACTAGGAGAGACGCGTTTGGTTTTTGATTGGGATTTTAGATGAATGGGTGGTGGGGCTCCCATTTTAAGGCCGAGCACGACGGAAGAAGTTACGTTCAAATATTCAACTACAAAACGACAATTTCATCATAAGGAAATTCTACAATAAGAGAAGAGGTAGATGTGTAATAAATAAGTCGTTTGATTTTAAAAGTATTCAGAACTTTGATAAAAATCAATGTACATAAAACTAGAATGACTATCAAATCACATAATGTTTAGCACACTCACTCTCATGGCTTGGTTCAAGCATTCAGGATTTCAAACTAAAGTCGTATTGATGTTACCCTTACTTAAAACAGTAAAATGTGCAAAACCTTGGTCTTGTAAATGCAACCATTTCTTTTATTTTAGTTTACTTTTTGTTTTCAAAACTGTTATATGCTATTATAACATATTATAACTCTGTTGGTCAAAATAATATTCTCACAACGTCAACAAAAATGTGAGCAAATGAGATCTCAGAAGAAGAAAAAAAACTATATTGATGTGTTACCAGTTCAAGACCATATAAAAGTGCCACCAAATTTGAAACAACATTAACCAAACTTTACCTAACATAATCACAACTATCTAAGGTAAGTCCAATACATAAATATAAAACCCAATACCAAAAGTATAAAATTAAATTAAAAATAATAACAAAAATATTTTGATAATTTGAGTTTAAGGATAATCACAAATTCATCAGTAAAATTTGTCTAACAAAATTTTATTAATAGATCATGAGATTAGTCAATAATTACCAATTATAGCAAATTTTCCATTATTTTCATTAATAAATCTTCTCCACAGACACATCTACGTTGTCACATCATTCTCTTCCTTCTTTGTCTTCTCTTCTTTATTCTCTTATTATTTTCACTCATCTTTCCTTAATATAAAAAGAGATTCATCAAAATTGACATGAAAATTTTCACTCATTCTACCAACAAATTTACCGAAAAAAAAATATTGATAATAGAAATTATAAATAACTGACAAAATTTATTGAAAAAATTCATCATTGAATACATCACTAATAAAATCGACAAACATATACATTACAAAAAAAATATTCATCAATATAATTTTTAATTTATCAACAAGTTTTAGTAATGAATCAATTGTGAACAAAATCTATCGATAATTTAAATTTTAAAATTCATTAATAAAAATCATTAATAAATTTAAGTTTATGGACAAATTTATTTTATGTGATAAAAGTCTATCCATAATTATTAAAATACTCTTAGAAGAAGTTAATTTAAAAGATTAATCGTAATTATTGATGTGTTCTTGACATTGTTAAAACGGTTTACATAGTGATTTTTTTTTATGTAATTAATATTTAGCAAAATTTAACTAAGAGTAGGTATTTAACTCTATGAGACTCACATAATTATTCTTAGTGGGTTTGGTTCAAATAATATTTGCACACAAATGATATCAAAGATGAAAATTTTTGTTATATGAATAATCCATCAAGCTAATTGATTCAAAAGCTACTTAAAATAAAAGTTGACTAAACATGTAAAAAGATAATGTTTAAAAAGTATACCTCTTCAGTCTTAAATGTTTCAAATGAATCGTGCAAAAGAATGACTTAAAATAATATAATATTTACGTCATTAACATTTTATTAATAAATGTTAATAAATTGTTTTAATTTTATTCATTTAATAGTAATAATCAATAAAAACTAATATTGAATTTAAAAATAAAACAAAAGAATTATAAATAAATAATTATCTTATTTTTTTTATTTTCTTTTTCTTTTTCACTTCTCAACTTTTTCAAGGAACAGTATAACAATGTTAGTTGGATGGAATAATGGCGGACAAGTGGTAGATAAAGTTATAAATGAATTTCTTTTGAAAAGTAAAGATGAAAGCAGAGACTTGTAAAATAGACTAATTAATTCGTTGAAAGTTATCATAATGGTTAGAGATAAAATTATTTGTGAACCTCACAAATTTATCTTTCTTTTTAGTTATGGATGTTTTATCAATTGATTTAATATCTGAACATAAAATTAAGAATTAACATAAAACATTAAAATAAAAAATATTATGTTCAATCCGATTTATCTAATCTATATATCGAAAGAATTTTATCGAGTTGAATATTACATATTCAAAGAATTTGCATGAACTAAATTGTTGTTATCTATATTTCTTTTTATCTAATCTATATATTTAGTTAGTTTTAGCTTCTTTTTTTAAATTTGATTCTTTTTATTTTAAAATATCGCAACATCATATAAGTGTTAATGTATTAAGACATTCATACATTTTAAATTTGCATGAGTAATAGTCCACATACGTATCTGAACACAATTTAAACAATTATAACATAAAAATAAAAAATAAAAGAACTTGATGGAAAACCCCATCAATTAATAAAAGAATTATAATAGATTAACAACTTTTTTATAATAAATTATATGTCATTATTTTATTAGTTAGTATATTTGAAACGATCAATCAAAAACTATCACATAAACTATTGTAAAAATATTGTAAAAAAAATTATTAAAAAAACATTTTTCTTACAAACCAAAAACTGATATAAACGGTGTTAAAATGTTGTCAAAAAATATTATTATAATGAATATAAATACAAGGACTCAAATAAAACTAAAATTCCGTTTCTGTTTGATGACGTGTTAATTTCGATGTAGAACTAAATTTTTTATTTTTCATAAAAAATGTGTTGGACTGAGATTGAGGCTTTAGAGGAAGGTGGGTCTAAACCCGTTTGATGTACTGAGAAAGGGGCCCAGCCCATTTGGGGAACAAGTTACGATATTGAACGGTGGCGGGTGTTGCATGATGAAAGAGATGAGATAGAAGAGAGAGCAGCGAAATGGCTGGTACCATGAAGTTGTCGTTGTCCCTGCCTCTGGCATCCCTATGTAAAGCCCCCAACTTTCTGAACCCTCCAACCAGCTTTCTGCAAAAGGACAACGTAAACAGCCTCAGAAGAAGCACCAAATGGAACCCTTGTAACGGAAAAAGAGGAGGGATCGTGTGCGGGTTGCCATTACCGGTTGATCCATGGGCACCCACCATTGATTCCCAGAGCATCGCTTCTCAGCTTTTCGCCTTCTCTTTGTTTCCTTACATCGGATTCTTATATTTCATTACCAAGTCCAAGACTGCTCCAAACCTCACCCTCTTTGGCTTCTACTTCTTGCTCGCCTTTGTCGGCGCCACAAGTCAGTCTCTCTCTCTGTCTGTGCCCCTTTTGTTACTGTAATTCTACTACT